GGCCCGCCCCCCCCTCGAGCCGCGGGGCTGCAGGGCCCTGCGTGCCCCGGGCAGCCCCCCCGAGGGGCAGGGCTCGGGGTGCAGGTTCCCCCTGCAGCCCCGTCACCGCCAGTCGAAGCCCTTTGCCTTCAAGCCCTGGTACTGTGATGTAAAGCACGAAGATAGCACCGCTGGTGAAGTCATCACTTCAAGCCATCTGACTCGATAGATTTCTTTTTTTTTTTCTTACCATCCTTACGCTTAGGTAATTTATTTCAGACGTCCTGCTTGGGTCTCAGTGACACCCTCGCAGCTGCTATTCCTGACCCGTATTAGTAATCCTGCTCCTGAGCCTTCCCAAAGAGAATGAGAGGGCGGTGTGTGACTCCGGGCACAGCACGGAGAGCAGCAGCAGCAGCAGCGCTGCCCCGAAACCTTCCCCGCATCCCTGGCATCCTCCTTTGTGTTGTTCACCCGACCTCCGTCTGAACAACCTAAAATAACCCTCTCTCCCTTATTGCATCGTGTAACTCTTGGGAATTGACAGGCAGCACTAATGAGGTGTGTGTGTGTGTGTCCCTCCCCCCCCTTATTTTTCTTTTTAAGTTTAGATTTTTGGGGCCCATATGTGCCTTTGTAAAGAAGACTGAGTCTCAGGGGGCTCCAGTAATTATGGTCATCTGCTGTTTCAGTCTGATTTGTTTAGTCAGACTGTGTTTTCCTTCTCTTTGTATCTGGGATTGTCTCTCCAGAAGCTCAGAAATTCTGCAATAGTAAATATACTTGAATCTGAACAATTGAAAATCAACATAATTATACAGCTATATCAGTTTCAAAGTTTTGAATGTTCTGTATATATGGACCTACTCCTGCACTACAATACACTTAGGCTTTCGTGTGGGGTTTTTTTTATGTAATGAAACTGAAATGCTTGTACAACTCAAAAATAGTTGGGAAAAATCAACAAAAGACTGTGATGCCCAAGTAAGCATAAAAAAAAAAAAAAGAGATACCTTATTTGTGTATACCCATTAAAAATGATTTGCATGTAGTTCTGCCAGTAAAAGTATGACCAATACTCCTGAGAAACAGCCCTGCCTGAACATGTTTCTTTGATTTCCCTGTCTTGGCAGAAGCCCTCTGTATGGCCGGGTGATTGATTGCTGCTGCTGCTGCTGCTTCACGTGATCCAGCTTTCTGACACAAAGCCACGGGCTCCTATGGATGAGCGTTCAACGTCATGAGACTCTGAAAGGTAGAGTAGGCAAGAGGAGGAGGAGGAGGAGGAAGCCAAGAAAAGAACTGTGTGGGAGTTGCACTGAAAAATGGATTTGGGCAGAAAACAAATCGAAGCACGGAAGAAGCGACTTGAGGGGTAGGAAGAAAATCGATTGAGGATCGTTCGTAAGAGGAGAGGAGGAGGAAGAGAAATCAAGAAGATAAAAATGGCTGGTGGTATCCAAAGCAGCTCAGGAAGGAGAGTGAAGACCTGACTGGCGGTTTGGGCCAGGGAAGAGCTGTTAGTAGCATCAAAAAGAGCTGTTTCAGTGCCCAGCCTGCGTGGAAGTGGGATAGGTGAGAGGCTGGGATATGGCCTGAGGGCCAAACAGGGTCTCCATGGTCATCCCCTGTAATTTCCTGCAGAACATCGATCGTGGGCTGTCACCCAGCTGCTCCTGAGCCAGACCTGTGGTCTGCGGGTCAGCTACAGTGCTCGTGTTAGAAGGAGACCTGATCCCTCACTGGCAGATCTCTAGTGAGGATAAATCCGTCACACTGATGGATAAACTGGTTTAATTAACTGATTACTCTCACTCTTAAAGTGGAGTTGTTCCTCTTCAGGCTGAGCTTGAAGCACTAGACTTTGGATTGCAAAACAACCACATCTGCTATTCTAAACAAATACTACCCCAAAGACAGAGGACCTCTTACTACAGACATTATTTCTTTAATATTATTTAGAGAAAATTTAAATCACAGAATTGAAGAGAATGTTCAACAAAGAAAGGGATGTGGCAGGCCAGGGAAACTGTAGCAGTGAAGAGTGGCAGAAATGAAGCACAGCAGAGAGTAACCATAGCTGAGCTTCTGTGTTTCCTCAACAGGAAAAAAATATGTATTTTAAAATAAAATATTAAGTGTATAAGTATATATAAAATAATTAATACAGGTGAATACTGGGAAATAAAAAGAACAGCACAAGGCCTAAAGATGAAAAAGGAAGATCAATAGCTACCAGTCATAATTGCCTATTAGTCTGTTTTTCTGATAGTTTTTTTAATTGTTAGCTCTATTAAAGAGAATATGGTGCTCAGTTTGCTGCTTTGAAGCAGAATTTCCTCTTTC